TTCATTTTCTATTTTGTTCTGATAGCTTTGAGTTTTAATTTCCTTGTAAGGCCCGTAAGGTAAATGTTTGGTTATTAGTCCTTATAGAACATGGGAGGTGAGGCAATCTTCATGGGATGGAGCCCAATGGAGGCAGGTCAGGTCACTGTCCTTGCCTTTAAAGAGGTGGTTGGAGCTCTACCTCTGCCGCTATCTCTTTTTTTACCCCAGCCACATTAGGGTTAGTAGTTTATTCCAACATAGACACACACTCACAAAATAGCCACCTGGTAGTTGACTGAAGCTTCCACAATTCTAAAGCAAAATTAGTCTTTTTTTCTTTTCCATTAAAACAGACTTATCTCCAGAACTCACTATAAATAAGAAATAATAAAGGACATACTTATGCAAAAGAGGTAGATATTTCCTAAAATGCAACATGTTTATCTATAAAGAGCATTGATCCCAAGCCATATTTCAAATGCGAAATTTTATGGAAGTCCAATAACAATTTAAGTCATAACCAGTAAATTCAATCTTATTGTGAAAGTCATAATCTAAACATGAAGATTCCTTAGTAGCATTCATGGAAAATGAAGCATCAACAAGAAATTTTTCTATTTTACTTCAGTGTAAGAAAAGCAAATTTACCTAAACTAGAAGAATGTCTAAGCACTATAATCCATGTGCTATCAATGTGTTAAGCTTTTATGAGACTGATTTTTACAACCACTCCATGGTCTCCAGGGCCAAATATAACATTAATATGGATAATGATTTATGTCTTATATATTAAAGCAAACCACATTTTATAATCTCAAATGAAAAGGAATTCATCCATTGTTTTTGTAGTATAAGGAAATGATCATGAAATACTTGCAAGTTTCTTTTATGTAATAAAAAACCCAACTAGACTATGACAGTTAAAGATCATTATATTTCATCCAGCTCTAGTGTGTTCACAGTTCCACTCAATTGTGTTTCAGTACTATAGAAAACAAAACAAGCTTATGCTATATCCAATTTCCAGAAATCAGATAAAATGTTTTGATAACCAAAAGTAATGCAATATACCTAGCAAAGCATGTTTGTAGTATCTACAGTTTTGTTGTTCAGTCTTCCCTCAGTGGTACAAAGAAGTGCTTCCAAGTCCTATAAAAACGCAACATACCTGGTGAAACTAATAGGTTGATGTAAGTGGAAATTCAATATAAACAGGCTTGACAAATGTGGAGAAATTTAGCTTTGAGCCTGTGGGATTTTTCGCCAGACATTTAAATTTGATTGATAGACAAGAATTATATATATATGGATTCAATACAAGTGGGTATCATGGCATCATAAAAGGTGTATTATCAACTAAAAAAAAAAGTTGCAAAATCCCTTCTCCTGGGCATTGGATGCACACTGTCTTTTTAGCTCCTAAAGTTAACTGCCGCAGTCTCCTTGTCTTTATCTAATTTTGATGTTATTCTCCGACTCAACGTGTTCCTGGCTGAACACCTTCAAAGTCACTGTTTTCATCAAATAGGCATTTGGTGATGCACCCTGAGGACAGCCTTCCCTACCACTCTTTGTTTGATTAAAGTTTTGTTTCCAGGGCTGTCTTCAAAATGAGGAAAATGAAATGTTTCCCAGCTTTAAATCTAAAACAGACTCCAAATGGTGGGTATATTCTTACAGACATCCTTAGACTAATAGGAAGATATGACATGAAATGGTAATTGTCACCCAAAGTAATATTTCATTGTCACTTACTTACTGTTCCCTTTTTCTTTTATTAAAAATAGAGTTTATTTCGACATATATTGCTCAGTTTATGTTCAGTTTAAACTGTACATTCTGATAACAGATTTCCCTCTCTTAACCCCTCTGAGATTCTCCCCATATCCTTTCCATCTAAATCAGCACCCGCTCTGTCTTTTCTTAAAAATAAACAGGTATCTAAAGGAGAAGGATTAAAAAAAGTGAGATTAAAACAAAAAACAGATTGAAATGGGGAAAACAAACAATTCTTTAAATGAAGGTGACACTTTCTATTAAAACCTAGAAAAATAATTAATAATTTTAAAGTCATAAATTTTAACAAATCATATCAACCTCCATGAATATTGCAACAAACTGAAGTAAAAATCACTCTTAGGCAAACAGTGCACACCAGCCTCATCCTCTTGTTGTTTAATTTGTCCCTTCTTGCACCTTATAAACAAATTTACGTGTTGTATTTTATTCTCTATTAACTAAAATCAAATATGTTCAGTATTTATTGTTTTCTTTTTTCTTTTTTTTGAGACAGGGTTTATGTGTATATCCTTGGCTGTTCTGGAACTCATTCTGCACACCAGGCTAGCCTTGAACTCACAGAGATCCTCCTGCCTCTGGCTCCTGAGTGCTGGGCTTAAAGGCATATGCCACCACTGGCCCAGCACTCACTATTTATTCTTTTGAGATAAAGAGTTGTGAATTATATATTTAGCTTGTATGTCTGTGTGTGTGTGTGTGTGTGTGTGTGTGTGTGTGTGTGTGTGGTGTGTGTGTCTTTGTACATGGTGTTGATTCCAGTGGTGGCCAGAGGAGGGTATTAGATGTCCTGGAGTAAAGTTACAGGAAGTTGTGAACCATAAATGTGGTTTCTAGGAATGAAATTCCAGTTCCCTGAAAGAACAGCAAGGGTTCTTAACCACTGAGACATACCTTAATCCCTCAAATATTTATTTTAATAGCTTTAATTATAATAAATAGTGATAATAATGGTATATATTGAAATTCATATATTCTCAATGAAAATGAAATATTTTAAGTTTTGTCAGTAACTACATATGGTGATCCAGTCTGATTTGAAACTTTTTTAAATTAATGATAAATATAGAGTATTTAATCCACTATAAATTTAATTCCAAAACTTTATGCATGAACTAGATTAAGGATTCCTATTAACTAATAATTAATTGTATACTTTGTCAATAAAACGTGGGTAAATATAAGCTCACATGACAGAGAGAAATGTACCTTATCTTAACTAAAAATTGCTTAGGGAATTCATAACCCCTAAGAATTAGGTACTTAACTCTAAGTTAGCAATGATAAAAACATTTTTGCAAATTATAAAAGCATTTTTTGTTCAATTTGAGGAGTTCTGTTTTACTGATTTAAATTAAAGTCACACAAATTATTCCTCATAAAATGTTATTTTAATAAAATACACCAGTGTACAAAATATCTTTAGGCCAGTATTGATTGTTTTTAAAGTAAATGTTCTTAATTATTTTAATACTCTGATTACAAACCAATTGTAATGAGAAGAGTGCATAGGGATCCTTAGAAAGATCACCGCTCATTACTGAATTTGATTTTGTAGAGTTAGATATTAAAGGAAATCTGAATGATGGAAATTATTTTAAAAGAAAACATCATTTAAATATGCAATCCTTCTTAAGTTTAGCACCAGAGAGCACGTGGGCCTCCTCTTCTCTCTGTTACCTTTTGATATTTTTAATTAGGAAATCACCAGTGGCTGCTTAGCCAAGCACTATAGGTACATAAAAGGTTTCCTGTCTCCTTTGACAGGCTACCTCCCACTCTTCAGAAACAATGTGCTACGTTCTTACTGTCTACACAACGTTTATTTGAGCATAGACTGATTCTTCCTTGTAGTTCAATAGAGGCCATTTAAACTGTCTCAATTTGTGACACCTTTTTAGCACTGGAAATTTTTATGTAACCAGAACCCAACAAATATATTGGATATATTATACAACTCAAACACTTACTGATAATGAATTATAAAGAAATACATTAAATATTTTCTTTGCACATAATAGTTTTTATCATAATAGTTAAAATAAAAGCAAAATTTTATATTAATGAAATAGATATACTCACTGTTTTTTACATTAAAAATTCAAAGCTCATCATAATTTTGGATACATCTTTGAACATAAATTATCCAGAATTTCTCAGTGCTGATTATGTTTTATCCTTTAGAATTGCCAGTTCTGAGTGTACCACTTGATAGCTCCATGGTACAAAAGGCAGAAATATGTTTAGGGAAACTTCAGAAATTGTTGGGAAATACTTTTCTAATCACAAGTGAACATTCATTAAAGGGTTGGTTATTATGAAGTCCAAACCAAACATTCAAGCAATATTTAAATCATACAATAATATAATGCATTCAAAAATATTAACTTGATACAGGCTGAAGAATGATGGTGGGGAAATGTTTAGGCTTTGTTTTCTGTAATTTATCCAAGATGTTTCTATAACTGCAAAAAACTATACAGAGTGAAAAAAAAGTGACTCCCTAAATAACACACATTGTCTCAAATCTGAGCCCAGTGCTCCAGCAGGAGTGGTTAGCTTTGTGTAGTGAGACAGCAGACGCCATGCCTGGTGCACTGTGGAAGGGTGTGTGTTCTGAACCAAGAACCAAGGCTTCAGTGTAGTAGGTAAGCGAGACATGGTCAAGTGCTGCCAGCACATCCCCAGCTCCCAAGTCATTACATGTTTGATTTTGAAATAATTGTTAGCTTTTGCACATTCAGAAAATCTTTTATTTTGCCAGATTTCTTGAATTTCCCCATATAGGCTCACAACCATAATTTAACAAACTGTGGTTTCCAGGATGATATTTTACAGAGTTACTGACTAGGGATCATTTCTTTGTTTTTCTTTTAAAGTCATTTTATTTACTGTTTAATTTCTCTTTGATCATTTTCATTGGACACTCATTTAAATGTTATAGGATTGAAAGTTTCATGTCTTCCAGCTTTTATCATACACTGTGAGCAACATCATTGTGAATATTAGTTTTTGTCTTGTCCATTGTCACACCCTCATAATAATGCACTTCTTTCATGCAAGCTGATCACCTGCTCTTGTCACAGCAACCTTGTCTATCTGTGATGGACTACTATGAGACTCAATCATTAAATGCAGTTATCCTCAAATTTCTGGGATAGTACAGACTGGGGAAACACGGAGTGACTGATGCTTACACAGATTCTTCTTTCTTCCCACAGATCATGGAGAAATGGAACTAAAGACAGAACCATGAAAGTTAAAATCCTGAGAACAAGACAGCTTAATTCAACCCTCTCTGAGGGCTTCATTCATCCGTAGTAACAATTCCAGTGCACATATTCATTTTAGGCTAATGCATTAGTTTAGGTTTAAGTCACTTTAAATCTAAGGAGAATTAATATTTTATGCATTTTCTTAATACATGAGATGCTGGGATGTTATCTTAGCATTATATAATATCAGATATAAACTCGTTATCAAATTATTATCCATGTGATTATTTATTTGCAAATATAAGTATTATATGGATTAATTCAAATATTTTAACTTAGACTTATACAGATGTTTAGTAGACTTTTGAATTCATATTCATATTTATCTATATAATTATTTTTTTTCCTGTTGTAGGTAGAATTCATTTGCCCAATTAATTTATGTTTTCTAAGTAACTTTTTATATAATAGGCTGTATGTATGATGGAAAGAAAAATCCATGCATTTCTGGTATGTATCTCAGAGTTCTTTCAAGTTGTTTGAAAAATGGATGGTGAAATTGCCATGTAGGTAAATGTCAATAGGAATACCATTCTAAACAGAAAGAGAAAAACAACAATACCCTAAGTAAAAACTGTGAATAAAGAAGGCAGGTACATTCTTGTGAAGATAGGGACTGTAATGACTATGGGAGAAGATGAACCTTTGAAAAACTATTGGAATTTCTAATTATCTTCTGAGAAAAGCTAAAACAATAACTTGGATTTGCTTGTAGAAGAGCCTGGATGCACACATTGTTCCTGATTTCATGAGAAACTTATAGCACAGGAAGTTTACTCCAGTGACCAGTCACTGAGTTATAGCTGTCAACCACCACATCTATCCCCTTGTTATAAATGCCCATCAATCAGATCAAAGAGAGCAGCGACCATCTGAGCAGCTGCAGGAAGCAGAAAGATGCTGAGCGAATTCAAGGAGGATTGAGCTGGCAACCTTTCACCTCAGCCATGTGCTGGAGAATACATCTGATAGATACACATTCTAAATGCATTTCTATGGTTTTATTAACAAGGTTGTCTGGTGTTGCTAGTTTACCAGAAAAGTAATGGACCATTGCAGTTTCTTAAGGTTAATAGTTGTAGTAGAAGGCTAATTCTTTAACATTAAAATTTTACATTTTAACTTTTTACCAATGCTTGCTTTGTAATACTTAAACTGTTTCACAAAATCCAAAGGAAAAATATGTTTTGTAGTTTACTGTCTCTCTTTAAAGAGCAAAACATGTTAGTAAGCTGTTGTGAAAAATCAGTAGTCCTGATCTGTGAGTTAATATACACATTAGTTTAGAGTCATATTGGTAACCAACACACATTTTTACCTCTTTATGTATGGCTTCCTGAAAATTTCTGAGGTTTTCCCTTTTATTCTTTCCATTTTAGATTTCTGTTTTATGGCATGATTTTGGATGATGCTCTAATTTTTTCTGGCTTAAGAAAGTCTGTTTTTAGTTGTAAATAAATAAAGAGAAGGCAAAGACAAAAACAAACAAACAAAAAAACCAACAAATATCTGAAGCACAATACTCTGCCATTCCCCCCACCTCTGCAGAATTGACTATATTCCCTAAGACTAGGACAAAATGACTGTCTCATCTTGTATGTTGCTTTTCTTAGTTATTTTGTCTTAAAACTGACCAGTTACAAATATGAACACTGCAACCATTAAAGCATTCAGATACTTGCTGAAAAAGGCTAAGTTGACCTAAATCCAAGGGAGATTTGTCTTGAGACTCAAGTTCTCATACAGTAGGACAGTGGTGATATTTGGTCAAGGAGTAGATGGGCATCAATGGACTGGTTTTCCAATTTCCAAATTGCTAATGAACATCATCAAGGATCAACAAGATAGATATGTTGATGTCTTTTCATCTTTGCCTGCTTTCAACCTCAGTCTTGTTTACTTGGATATATTTAGAAGATCTAGTTGTTTTGGGTGGGGTTTAGTTTATGAAGATATCAGGAACATGTCCCAACAGAATAAAATACTAGGAACTCTGTTTTTTTAAATACACCCACTTCAACATTACCTGAAAGATGAATAAAATATGAATATTCAATTGGTAGATTTAGGATGAAATGAAAACCAATTAAGGTCACATCTAAAACTATAGATGTCAGCCTCTCCGATTGTGCTCAGTGTGAGTAATACTCGGTAAAGAATATTACTCTCTACTGAGCTATTTAATCACAGTTTTCAAAACCATAGAAGGGTATAATAGGACTAAGAATTGTCATTAAAGTCTCCATTGTAAAATAATAATGTCTATCAAAATGGATGGAAAAATTCTACTCAGTAATTTAAACTGCATCAAAATTGAACAGAATAGGTGATAACACATATATTTGCTATTGTAAAACGCAAGAACATGCGCAACATACAAGTTTTGGCATAACAAGTTTGATTCATTTCATTCTTATGAAAAAGTCCTGATTTGAATTAAAACCACCTCTGGAGGTAGGCTAATGCATATTATAAAAAATGGGTTAGTATAAAGCGTGGGAAAAGTTCAGACATTCCTTTCGCATATTGAATCAATTAATACCATGTACAAGGAAACCCTGATTATTTGAAGGAGTGGAGAAAAATGACTTGATTCTTTACAAGTAGTACAGACTATTATTAGTATTCCAGATAGACTGTGTTGTAGAGAACCCATCACCGGCTTTGATCTGTCTGCATCCACAGCTGGAAACTCTGCACAGGGCTCTGGAAGCAGCACCGGTTGACAGTTGCCCCCATCAGGAAAGTGAATTAGTGCTTGCAAATGTTAATGAGTGGATCAAAGCACAAAGGGGCAGTACTAGGTTCTTGCAAAAAAAGATCCGATTTCATTTCCTGTGGACAAAAATAATTAAAATATTCATAACTTTTCAACTTACTTTATATTTCTTATCCATCACACTTTGTTTAGTCTTTCATCATTCTTTTGTTCTAGTCCTGCTCTTGTTAGAGGCCTTCTTCTCCCTATTGCTTCTCTTCTTTGTGACAATACTTGTTTTTAGCATGAAATAAAGAGTGCCTTAAATGATCAGAAGGATAAAAACAGTGACTTGAAACAATGATGTGTAATATTACAGCCATTACAAAACTGCAGGAGCACATGCACACTGCAAGGACCCAAATGCAAATCCTCTATGCCATAGATATTTCACCTACACTGAAATTAGACATATATTAACTCATACTGCCTGGCTTCTTACAGTGATAACTGAGGTGCTTGACTTAAATTTTATATGTCTAAATTTTCTTATATGTGGAATTGTCTTAGGTTAGATTCAATGTTACCCATCATGCATCATTGTGCATTCCAAAGGTATGGCTAAGAATTCAAGGTAAAGAAGACAATCTTAAATTTATTCATTGATTCTATAACTTTAAAAATTAAACTAATTCTTCTTCTATGAATTGTTATGCCTATTACTTTTATATTTAATTGCTAGACTTTATTATAGAATGTATGTTTTTGTTTTTTTTATTTTTTATCATTTTTTATTTTAATTTTAAATAGCTTGTTTTAGATGTCAATCCCAGTTCCCTCTCCCTCCCCTCCTCCCGCACTCCCAGTCCCCCCCCAGCCTCCCACCCTATTGCCAAATCCTTCCACATAGGGGATATCTAGAGTCTGTCATTTTACTCTGGATAGGGTCCAGGCACTCCCCCTAAGAGTCCAGGCTGAGAGAGCATCCCTCTTTGTGCTATAGGCACACGAAGACTGTTTGTATACCAGGGATAGACACTGATCCACAGCTCAGGGCCCCATAGGTTGCCCAGGCCTTCTCGCTGACACTCACATTTGGAGGGTCCAGATCAGTCCCATGCTGGCCTCCCCACTGTCGGTCTGGGGTCCAAGAGCTCTCCCCTGTTCAGATCAGCTGTCTCTGCTGGTTTTGCCAGCCCATTCTTTGCCAATTTGCTCATCACTCCTCTCTCTCTCTGTCACTGGGTTCCTTAGGTTCAGTTCAGTGATTAATTGTGTGTTTGCCTCTGATTCCATCAGTCACAGGATGAAGGCTCCCAGATGGTTATAGACATCAAGTTCATTATCAGGAATGGGCATTCGAGGAGGTGGTCTCTCCACTATTGCTTAGCTTGCCTATTGGTGTTATCCCTTTAGATCACTCGAGGTCGCTCTGGTGCCTGATCTGTATTCGATCCTATGATTCCCTCTTCCCCCTATTCTACCCCTACCCCCTAGAATGTATGTTTTTAAATGTCATAATAGAAGAGACAAGAATTCAGTAGTAGTTGGTGAATCTGCTTATTGAGCACTTCATTTGGTATAGTATGAAAGAAACATTTCTAAAAAATGAGCGTCAGCCCTCATCATCCTCCAACACTACACTCACATTTCCTTTTATCTTTCTCAATAGTTTTCTTTACGTAAGATTTTTTAACTCCACAAACTTTTTTCCTATTAAAAATAGTTCTTAGATTTTCTTATATTTTCTCCTTCCTTTCTTCTTTCTGAAACTATCCATGTACCTTCTTTATTCTGTTTTAAATTCATAGGTGTGTTTCTTTCACTGTTGTCACACATATATCTGTATATATTCCCACTTATATATAAGTGCCCAGTATGTTACTTAAGACATAGGTATACAGACTGTTAATTTATTTTATGCCCTCAAATCCATTGTCCCATTGTTTAATACTCTGTTTCATGAAAGATCAGCATTACCTATTCTATAAATATTAGCATTCTTTTTTTTCTGGGATTTTGAGACAGGGCTTCTCTATATTGTTTTGGAGACTGTCCTGGAACTCGCTTTGTAGACCACCTGTCTCTGCCTCGCAAGTGCTGGGATTAAAAGCGTGCACCACCAACACCCGGCTGAAATATTAGCATTCTTTAACCTATGGCATTTGATATTAGTTGTGTTTGCTAGATAAGCACATGACAAACAAAAGATTGCATTACCCTTGGTGTGTCTTATAGCATTAGCGGTAGTGGGTAGCACTTAGGTGTTTTTAAAGTTTGCAGTTTTAGCTTCAATATAACTTAAATTTTAGAAGTTTAAATTTTTTTTCAAGATAGGGTTTTTCTGTATTGTTTTGGAGGAAAAGTTTAAAATTTGAGATTTAGATATACTTTATTGCGTTAAGGCGTTTTAACATTATTTTTTTCTCATCCATCAGGTAGTGAAGAATCTGTGAGTCCCAAGATGCTTTAGATATAATGTAAACAAGCCATAAAAGCTGTCTAGTGCAGTCAAACTCCAACTGTCTAGAAGCCCTGGACAACCAATATGTAGGAATTTTTTAAACTTATGTATATGTGTGTACATCTGTGTTGGCTATGCTTGTATAGACCTAGAGCTTTAGGTAGGTATGAGCTGCCTGGCATGGGTTCTAGGAACTGAACTTGGGTCCTCTGTAACAGTATGTGCTCTCAACAACTGAGCTCAAGCCCTCTAGAAAATATTTGTCTCCAAACAGTATATGTTTCTAAATAGCCTCATTTTTTTCTGGTACTTTAGATTAATGGAAAATATTTTCTATAAATTCATGATATTTTTCTTTTGTGAACAATTTGCCTCATTGATTTTATAGCCTTATTAATAAAATGTCAAATATTTAAATACTCACCTTAGTCAGCTAAAAAGACTCAGTCATGCTATTTATTTATTCTGAAAATATGCCTATTGACTAGAGAAATTCCATTTCAATACCTTTAGATTCTTCAGTTGTCCCTGGGTTCCCTCTTTTTTTTCTACCGTTTTTCAGTTAAATTAGAAACAAGCTTGTTTTACATGTCAATCCCAGTTTCCTCTCCCTCCCCTCCTCCCCTGGCCCCACCCACTATCCTCCTATCCTATCCCTTATTGGCTCCCCAGGAAGGGTGAGGCCTTCCATGGAGGATCTTCAAAGTCTGTCATATATTTAGAGTAGGGTCTAGGCATTCCCCCATCTGTCTAGGCTGAGAGAGGATCCCTCTATGTGGAATGGGCTCCCAAAGTTCATTTGTATGCTAGGGATGATAATCTTTATGATTCTGTTGATATTTAGAACCCTTTAATACCATCATCATCATTATTATATTCTGTCTTTCCATTAGATTTTATGTTCACGTTAACGTCTTACTTCTAAGTTACTTTCATTTTAATTTCTTATCCCTTATTTGTGTACCTT